TCAAGTTTTCATTATCACAATTTTGATGTAACCTTAGAAAGAATAATTTCAGAAAAATTGTCTAAATAGGCCGTATTGAAATCGTGATACAATTGTCCGTGTAAAATTTTTTACATTATCAACAATCGCAGCCAATCATATGTGTGACTTTGTAAATATCACAGTCGTCTTTGAGAGCATGCAAAACGTGTTATTACACAATGTTCAAAATATGTCATATAATCTCTATTTATTTTGCCCGGGCGTCCAAAAACTTGAGACCCTCTGAAAAATATTAGGGTTTAGGGTTTAATGTTTATTATTCGTAGTTAATCAGAATCTAAACATTACCTTCAATGAGGCTTTTGAATAGGTCATCTACAGCTGATGAAAGTTTTTCATAGCTATCATAAGCTTTGATGTCTACTTTTCTTCCAATAGGAACTCCATCCATGTTGATCTTCACAAACAAGCCTTTACTAGAGTTTCTAATAGGTTTGTTACTAGCAGCAACCGTGTCTTGAACCACGTGCCGTTGCTCGGTAGGCGGTTTAGACGAGCTTCCGCTTGCAATGTTCTTCCTGAAAGATCGAATCGGCGGCCAACCAACTGCAGTACTAGTTGAATTTCTGTTTTAGGTGAATCAAATTATATAATATATCAGCAACAACAATCAAACTTGCATATCAAGTTTCTAAAAAACCTTAGTATTCCAGACATGGTTGCTATAGATATAAGAGAGAAAAGCAATTTTAAACCTTAGAAGTACCTTTTCTGAGACCTATTAGGAAAATCTGATTTTTTTGTAGGTGAGAATGCATTCTTCTCTTCATCCTGCAATTTTGTACTACAAGGTTGTGATTGTGATGCATCTTTTTCCATCACTTGCATTGATGAGAGTTGAAGAAATGAAGAACCTTTAGCATTAGAGAAATCACAAGTTGAATCTTTCTTTGCAAAGTAACCAAGAGTGAGTGATGATTCTTCTTCTTCAACTTCACCTCTTTCTTTTTTAACATTTTTCATACTTTTTTCATTGACACACTCTTCTTCACCTGGTGGACCAAGTTTAAGCTCCAATTTCATGCTTCTCTGCCACATCTTGTTCCTCACAAAAACTCTTCAACTTCCTTTTTTTTCCTTTCTCTAAAACTAGTTTCTAAATTGAACGGTTATGGTAAAGAGAACACATTCAAAGAAAAGAAAGATATATTGAACCAAAGAATAGCATAGAATTGTTGCCTAACTTTGTTTTTCACACACATAAAATGGTTATTTTTCTTTCCTCTTTTTAGGAATTGATTGATCAAACTTTGTGAGATTCTTTCTTCTTTGCCTAACAAACCACAAACATAAAAGGAATTAGAGCATAGCACACGCAACTTGAAACAAATGTTAGGTAGTTTATCACATGAAGTAAAGTAAAGCAAAACATGTTTGACTAAGTTATAACCTTAATCAATGTTTTAAAAATCTAACAGCGAAATCTACACTTCAATTATTTGAACAATTCGATTACGATTTTGTAGTGGTTCGAACCATAACTCAGATGTTTGATTCGGGTTTTAAAACATTGAACTTAGTAATATTTCCTTAAATGTGTTTTGCTTGTTAGCACAATAAACCAAACATGACTTTTAAACTTTTGCATCTTTTTCCTTTTGGTTGGAGTCAAAGATTAAAAGATTTCAAAGAATGAATATAAAAAGAGGAACACTAGGACACTCAAGTTCTTACCTTGTTGGCACAAACACAGCCAATGTTTCTTCCTTTTTGTTAATGTAAAATGTTGTTTTAATTAAGTGTTTGTTAAGTTGGTTAAACGTGACTTTAGATACAAACACGTGCTGATGACTTAAATAAACTCAAACTTCAAATTCATTACTTAACTTTTTTTTGTACGTCAAGAAATTGAATTGATGGATGGAATAGTTACTATTGCTTTAGTTTTTTCCTACTTTTTGCTTTGTTTTAACTTTTAGAACTGGTAGATATCTATCCGAATAGTTAGTAAATAATTGAGATATTTGATAAAGAATTAATATCAAAGACACTTTGGAGAAAAAATTATTTTGATTACACTATCTTTTTTTAATCATTTTTTTGTTTAGTAAGAAGAAATTTTTAGAGATAAATTTAGGGATTTAAACAAAAATTTTGTGTTTCTAAGCAACTAAGAATGGTGTGATTCATAAATGAAAAGGACGAGAAATTTAAGTCACAAATCAAATAGAAAATATAATTATTCTTGATGTGTACACTTTGTTATTACAATTTAAAAAAAAAAACAAATATTCCTTACCAAAATATCATAACTTTTTTTAAACTTGGTTCTTCCTCTAATTCCACTTGGATTTTCCTCTAATTCCTCGTACAATAAAATTATGGCTTAACGTTAAAAAAAGTTATGGAAATGCATCTTCGTAAATATCACATAGTTGCATCTTAGAATGATATTTGACTCTAAAACGCGTCAGAACTCTTCTTTTTCCTAATTTTTTTAAAAAAACACTCTAAACATATTTTCAAACTCTCTCAATTTACATTCTTTTAAAATCAATCAACCAAGTTAAAATTTTCTCCATCAACATCAAATAAATCAAGGAGATCATTCAACACTGAAGCAAAATCTCAATTTGTAGGTTTTTTATTTTTGTAAACTTTTTTGAGTTTTTGTATAAATTAGTAGAAATTGATTATTAGGTTAAGAAATAGATAGTTTTTGCATAATTGATAGTTTATACATATTAAAAAACGTGTTTAATGATTAAAAATAACAATCAATGCATTATTTTTGGGAGTTTCGTGGTTTGCATTACAACCATTGACGAGGCTGAATATTGCAGAAAAATTTGGAGATACATCTCCAGAATTTTTCAACGTTTGGATTCTTAGAAATCGGAGATGCATCTCCATAATTTATCTATCTGTTTTTTTCTTGCTTGTAGGGTTGCTAGTAGTAATTGTGTAACACGTATCTGATTTACTTACAAGCATTATGCCTGATAGAGACGACAAACTGAGGCACTAGAGGATTGCACAACATGCATCTGTTATGCATCTGTCCGGAGAAAAAAAGTTAGGTTTCAGAGGCTCATGTTCCCTCTATCTCCACCTTCTTCTTTCTGTAGGAAACGGGTCTCACCTACTGAAGCATCAATGCCTCGATCTTCCCATAGGCAACAGATTTCACCTATTCATGCGTTAGAGGTAGCCGAGTCACCGGAGGTATCTGAGGCACCAATGTCATCTTATGCACTAGAGGGACCTCATGTTGATGAGTCGGTGTCACCTCAGGCTGATGAGTCAGGGTCATCTCAAACTGTTGAGGCTGATGAGTCAGTGCCACCTCATGTATTGGAGAAGGCCCTATAGATTTATCACCGCTACCTCTTTACCCAGACCATACAGCTAGACATATTAGAGAGTTGACCCAGAGGCTCCCATGAGAGAGGTGGAAAATCTATAAGGGCTCATGCTAGGTTTGAATTCCTAAAAAAATATATACATATGAGCTCCTTAGAGTAGAACAGGCTAGAGGCGAGGATGAGCATGTGGGGCTGCATAAAACGTATGTTATGCGAGCCTACCTGTTATGTTTGGTATGCACTGTCATTTTTGTGGATAAGAGTGTCACTTATATGGATGTCCTTTATATACGGTACTTCAAAGACTTTGAGCAGATCCATGAATAAAACTGAGAGGTCTTTTGTTTGGTTTACTTGTACTCTAAATTATCAGAGGACTATAGGTGAAAGACGAAGCAAATGACAAGCAGCATCACACTATGAGTAATATTTATTGGTCTTAGTATTTATGTGTCATTTTCATTAAATTTTTGCAACGTCCTTACTGATGATTCGTGTGTGCCAACACTTTTCACGCTTGGATCCTCTAGGACTTCTCGTGCATCTCAGCTGGTCATGTGTACTGACTTATACTGAGGATATGTTGTATGCTTTTGTATTTCCCCACTCAGAGGAAACCAGACGACAAATTCATTTCGACTGTATATTGCCGCTTGGTTTTCGAGGATATCCATTTTAATAGCTATGTCGATCACTATGAGACGTAGCCATTTGACGACATATTATTATACTCAGGATGGTTGGCTTGCGGTTCATTTCTCACACTTCCTCATCTGCCTTAGCACGTCATACGGCAGTTTGGCTATACTCGGACTATTACCAAACACAATGTCGTCTCTGCTCCTTCTGCTATGACACGTAGAGATATGGATGTCATGTTTGATGATTATCTTAATCACCTGGTACCGAAGGAGACACAAAGTATGAGCGACTAGATCCATGTCGACGGGTACATCAGGTGGTTCTTTAAGGTGTCACATTCGTATATGATGCAGGCTGCTCCAAGAGATTCACCGAGACCATCTCATCAAGAGTAGTTGCTCCAACAGATCCACCTAGACGTCGTCGCATTGTAGAAATTGTGTAGACAGACATTGACAAGGATATATTTCTTATGTATTTCGACTTTAATGTGTAGCAACGAATGCATCTTCGAAACAATAAACGTGTAAAATAAACCTTTCAAAGAGGAATGTATTGAGTGTGTTTTGAAATATTACAGAGATACATCTTCGAATTCGTTAATATTTTAACTTAAGACAAGATGGTTCGGAGATGCATCTCCATAATCTACGAGGACATTTTGGATTTTTTATAGTATTTTTCAACCCCATAGAATGTGATAAGAAATTCCCAAATCTAAAACAACATAACCCATCAAGTAGACAACTATCTAGTCTCATCTCACATAATCCAATAAGTTAGGCTCAAATGATGTATTATCTTCCCAACAATGTAAAATGTTTATAGCTAACACAACTATAGAACATTTCAGAATTCTCTTAAAATAATCATAAATATGATTGTGTTGAGCAACCAATGCAAAAAATTGGCTATGTGTTCATATAAATAATCCTTTCCAAGACTGCTGGTCAAAGTTGAAAAATGACCTTAAAAAAAAAATCATGATCATTGCTTAACCATCAAGGTAAACTAACAAGAATGAGAAGCAGCAAGAAGTGCAGCACCAATTCCTGAACCATCATTAGAGTGTTCAACAAGAACACTTCCTGATACATCTTCACCAAGCAACTCGTTTAGTGTATTTTCTAAGCACTTTTGGTATTCAGTGTAATGCTCGTACAGTCCACCATCCATGGCTATCACATTCTTCTGACCATCACTGACGGCATCTTTTCCCAACTTCTTCAGAATTCCTAAGATGCCAGCAGCAGCAAGACGAGCACCACGAGTAGCAACGATATTGCACAACTCAACAATCACTTTTCGCACTTGCAGGGAAGTATCAGAGATCTAATATTCAAAAAGGGAGAACCGAGTTAAGTTGATGAAAGTTCTCCATAGCAACTTTAAACATTTATCAAAACAACATTATAATTTCACGTACCTCCAAAATGTCCATCAGTTTGGTTTTGACCACATTGAGATCAGCAGATGAGTCGTGATGCATGGCAGACATGTCAGGTGTCCTACACATCAAATCTGATGGTCAAAATACAATTCTTTTGACGACAATATTGGTAAGTGGTAACAATAAAAGTCGCAATAAACTAAGAATTTGGGATTCTTATGAAATCATGAATTGTGTAAGCAATGTTAACACTTTTTGATGAACCAGTTGCAGACATGATACAAAATCATTCATGTGTCTTCATATAATAGTCGGTACACGACATTCTATTAGAGCATCTATGATCAAGTGGTCTAAACTTATGAAACACGGAAAACTCTACAAGTAGGCGCGTCGTCGTGTCTCATACTTGTATGGCACCCGTACGACATGTGTTGGAAAACTCAGACAAGTGTCCCAAAAAATTGTTTTTTTTCTTTACTTCTACACATGTCGGACAATAAAGCCAAGTATTTCAAAACAATATTTTTTTTTACTTCAATGCATCTTTTACATTTCTTTGACAAATCTCACATATATCTAAAATGGTAAAACACGTATTGAATCAATGTTATCAATGAAAATTTAAAAACTTCAATTTTAATTAGAATATTTTTAACTATATTAATAATAGATGGATCAATGAAACTCAAATATTATCATATATATGTAGCGATGTCAGTGTCCAACATTTTTACATTATCAGTGTCGGAGTGTATGTATCCGTGTCGGAGTTTGCGCTTCATAGGTCTAGACTCTATATCTCAATCCCTGTCGCCCCACTTTCCTAATAAAAAGAAATGAGTTTCATCCCAAGAGACCGGTGCATTTTCCATGCTTCAAGTGCAAAAGGCTCTAGCATGTAGAGATGTGTAGGACCTAATGATACAATATAGAACCATTCATGTATTTTGACTTGAGAGCTTTAAGCTTATGGAATAGCCAAGTCATGATAAGTGTAATATTCAACTTCATAGTTAATGGTAAACTATGAAGCAATCATCAAGAGGCATGGTTTTGTACAAATTCAATTGTTGACATAAACGTGTTTGAGTAATGATTTTGTACCTTAATACGAATGGAACTTTCAGTTTTGAAGGAACAGTTTCACCAAAAAACCAAGCTTCTTCAGCCATTTTCAAAAGTACTCTACGAACAATTTCTCCCAAGTACATTCCGGAGATTAGCTTCTCAAAAATCTGCATGCATGGTTAAAAATTTCAGGAAAAAAGTTAATAGCCTCATTCATTAAGTCTGGAGATTGGAGGTAACGCAAACCCACCTGATCACCAGGGTTTAAACTTTCAGCATCTAATGCAGTATCATACTCAGTTAATGGAAGGTGAGATGACCGGAAGTTTCCCCACTCCATGTTGATAACCTACATCAATCTCGTATATTTATTGAAACTTCAATATTTATTCCATTTTTAATATCAAACAATCTTCAAAAATTTTTATAACTACACACACTCACCATTTCTCCAGACTCGGGCAAATCACCATGCCATTTTGGTATTGCTTGAGCATTCTCCACATACGCTGCATTTGTTCCGGTACCTAAAATAACAGCAGCAAACACATCTTTGTTTGTATATCGCCCTCCGGCTAATGTCCCAACCGTATCATTGACCTATAGTACAAATGCTGAACATGTAAGTCCAGAGTCTACAATCAAACTAATAATAATAATCCAGAAAAATTTAATTAAAATGCTATCACTTAATTAAAAATTCAATTACCAAAGCTGTTATGTGCATATCTAGACCTTGTCTTTCAATGGCATTTCTCAATTCGGCCACAACATCCTGACCAACCTATGTAAACAACAATTAAACTAAGTATAAATGTAAAGGTGAAAGAATAACCCAGCCACTTATATAGACTACTTCAATAAAGACAGGTTTCCAACATTCATCTATGCTGTCTATAAAAATGGAAGAGATATAGAAATTCAATGTAAAGGGGATCATACTAACATATTTTGAAACATAAACTAATATTCTAGACTTTTGACATTTCAAATAACAAGAAAATAAATGCTAGGCTATTTTGTTAATCTCAGATAGAGCTGAGTAGAACTGACCCCCTAAAATGTACGGAAGATAGCTGGATAGTTGTTATTGCAAAGACTAAATATTAGTGTACGCAATAAACATAAATACCCAAAAATAGAAAAACACGCAAAATTGAAGACAATGTCATACTTAACGGGTAAAGAAAGAACCTAAAGTATAGAGCAATAAAACTTAAGCAGAGAAGAACATAACATAATTGAACTAAGAGTAGGAAGAAGAACAACACGATTGTTTATGAGTAAGATCATAGCAGAATGAAAAATAGAACATTACTTTTTAAAGGGTTCGGATTGAAATTGATACCCTTAAAAAACAGACAACGTTTTAAAAATATGATTTGAGGGATTGAAATTGATACCCTTAAAAAACAGACAACATTTTAAAAATATAATTTGAGGATTTTATTTTCAAAACCCTAACAGCGGACGCGATAGCGGTTTGAGGCGGCAACTAGCAACCACAACAACCGATATTGCCGACGGCGGCTCGCAGGCCAAAAGCATTGCACGGACCCTGCCACCGCTACGTTATTCCTTTATAATGCCTCTGTAGCACTATTGATAACATTGATGCTAGGTTCTCATGAATATATTTTCAATAAGTTGTGTAATGGATTAAGATTATAAAATAATTGGTACTACAATAATAATTTGTGATGTAGTTATAAATTAAAATCTAAGCTTGGAGATGTAGGAGTTAATCAGAAAGAATGTAATTAAAACAATAAGGATTCAGGATTTACTGTATCGTCAATGCTGAAGCCTTTTGTCCATCTGATAAGGTTCCCAGAAGAAATCGATGTTTGCATGACAGGAAAGGAAAAGGTAAAACCTAGCTGCCTCTTTCCATCTGTAGGAACCTGGTAATCTTCTTTTTCTTCTTTAACAAACTTTACAAGTTCTGCTGCAATAAAGTCAAAGAGCTCCTGGATCACATTTTTTTTAGATTGGTTAGGTTTCTCATGTGACTGGATTACAACAAATAACTTAAAGCAAGCAATAGTAAATGCAATTGTCAGGGGAAAAAAAGATACTCAAATTGATAGAAGAAAAAAAGGCTTACTTTTGATGTCCCGACCATCAAATTTGGAGGAATAGACACCTCGGTAAATTCTTGACTAATAATACCATTTTCCTTGCCGCCGAGTTGCACACGTAATACGCGAAAGTTAGTCCCTCCAAGGTCCAATGCATAAAATAGTCCTTCCTCATTCCTAAATAGAGTGGGATGCAAAGAGAAACAAAATGTTATAATAACTTTTCAGTCTATATGCAAAAAAGAACACTTTCCATAAATCTTTAACAGCTATGAAACGTAACCGTCTCAATACTCTTGCACAACTATTTCAAATATCATAGCAATAAACAGTGTAATGTTAAAATATGGGAGATTGTACAAAAAATATGGCATTCTTGGAAAAACAATTACACCTAAATCATCATGGTTATCAACTTGCAATTTCATAGCATTCTTGAAACGTAAGAAATGAAACAACGCCCAAAAACTATATGAATACACAAACACAAAGAGCGTTGACTATGCTTCTTAGCTTCGTAGCCACCTATTTTAACAATCACACGCAAGTCCTACCATGAACGGCTAATGATCAATGCCAGCAATAACTTCCCTCCATCACAAAATCATTTTATTGACATTGCAATTGAACAATAAATGAGCACAAATAGCTACATGATCATCCAATCCTCAATTAAAAAAATAAACAGTGTCTTCCGACAAACAGCTTAAACGAACATCTCTTCAAAAAAACACTTGCCCAAACATTTAAATTCATCGAGCTATCTGCATCCAGATATGCATATTACAAATCCATCTACTTAACTATTTGTTTTTAATAAGCAGCTTAAACAAAACACTTTTTCAAAAAACACTAGTCAAGACATCTAAATTCAACAAGCTATCTGCGTTCAGATACGCACACTAAAAACCCATCTACTTTACCAATTGTTTTGGATAAGCAGCTTAAATAAACACTTATTCAACCATAGCTTATCATAACATTTCAATTCATAACCTATTCACATTCAGATACGCCAGTTACAGCTTACATAGTCATACACTTCATCAACAATAGTAAAAAAGTAGAATTTCAATTTGATATAAACATATAATAAGCAATTTTTATAAACTCTTGTAAACATGTAACAGTTATTATAATATCATAAGGTAAACAAATACAATACAAACGCACATATATATGAATGAATTTAGATTGATCTAATGAAATTATAACAATAAATTCAAATAAAACAGTAGATCAAAAAATGATAAGATCAAGGTGAATTGAATCAGATCAATGAAAAACGAAATACCCGGTGGGAAGATTATCAACGAAACTGATGAGCATTTTGAGTTTGCTACCACCTTCAGAAGCAAGACCAGCTTGCATCTCCACCGCCATTGCATCCGCAACCTGCTTCAGCTTCCACGTCGGCGTCGCACTTTTCTCCTCGAATTCCTTCAATATCGCCTTCGCCTTTCCCCATCGCTTCGATTTCTTCACGTGCCGCTGAATCAATACTGCCGCCACCGCACATGCCGCCGTAGCTCCGATCACCGTCGCACACACCACCACTTTCCCCATTATTATCGGTTTAAATCAAATCAAAGAATTTTTGTAAGAAAATACACACTCCGAAAAAAATTGACACTCACACACTATTTATCACGTGTCTCAATTTTTATTTATTATTTATTATCTATATAAAAATATGATTTATCTAAAAATAAAAATAATACATATAATTTAAGTTAATTAATATTATAATAAAAAGTAATTTAAAAATCCAAAAGATAAGGTGATTTTTTTCTTCAAATAGTCGCTTCTATAAAACTATTTATTTTAGAATAAATATTGTTTTTTTGTATTCAATGCAATTTTAATGTTTGTCTTTTAATTATGTTTTCTAATTAGTCCTTTTAATTTATTATTTTATAATTTATTTTTATAATAATTTAAATATATTAATAATAAATAAAAATAATTTAATAGAAGCACTATTTTTTCTTTTATTTATTATATTTTTTTAATTAGTATAAAACGATCAATTAGAATAATTATTTTAAGATTGAGAGTTATTAATTGTACTGACTTAAAGGATAAGATGTAGTTGAGTTGATTAGAAAATAGAATGTATAGATAAGGTTGATTGGATAATTAGGTAATTATATATTTTAATTGAAAATAAATTAAATGATTATTTTTTATGCTATTATTATAATGGTTTTAAACGCGGAAAATTGTAATTAAATAAAATTTGGTTGATGATGACGTGTGCGAAACAAAGAAGCATAATTTGGCTTTGGATTTGGAACAAGACAGTGAACAAAAATAAATAAACTATGTTGAAGATTGGTCAACAACACATAACAACATGGGATTTCGTTGATGTCTATGAGCCAGTTTGTTTTATTTAAATTTCTCAAAAGAAGAATAGTGGGTCAATTTATTTTAATAATATTTTTTCGTTTCAAATGTAAATAAAAGTCAGTCGAAAATATTAATATATTTGGATAAATACAGCAGTTTTTATTTGATTCATTTTCATTTATTTTTATATTTAAAATTAAAATAAAATTTGTTTAAATTTGTGATCATTTTTAACCTTAAAAATTAATTTCTATGAGTGTTGTAGAAATACTTTATTTATATTTAAAGAAAAAAGAAGATATAGAATGCAAAGTAGGGAAAAGTTAAAAATTTAAAAGAAAAAAAAAAGATTATTGTCTTAGAGAAAAATGTCAAGATGCAAGAACATATAAATAATAAAATTTCTAAAATGTAAAATATAAATTATAGTGAGATAACTTTACTTTATTTTAGGATGGAAGGTTTATGAGTATATAATATAATTCAATTGTCTAAATTCCGAGCGAGTTTCCACTAATGGTGGTATGCCACTTGAAATAAATTAAGAGATTGTTCGAAATGAGGATGAAGTTGTCCAATAATGTGACAATAGACTTTCTAATTAGGCTTGGTCTTTTTATGATGATATATTCACTCATTTTATGCGACTAATGAGGTTTCTGATCACAACCGACTATAGAAATGAGTCACAGGGGAAAACCTCTCCCTTATTATTTGATGAAAAGTTTGATTTTTCCATGTTCCTATATTGTTGTCCGAAAAGATAGGGAAACTGTCATTCTGATCATTCAACTCAAACCCAATAAGCCTTTCATATTTACCTTATTCTTTTAATGGGAAGAGGGATCTCCATTATTCTCTTAAAAAGTCATATACATATCTTCTCATCACCCTGCGTGACCAAGCCCCTGTTGTTGGGTGAGAATATAGAGTAATGAAACACTCTATAGAGGGTGAATAGACCATTTAAAAACAATTCTAAAATTGGACCGATTCCAAAATGAGTTATCAGAGGTTTACCAAAAATGTGTGTGGAAGGTTCAAAGCGAAAATGTGAAGATTATACTTTTGTTGAAATTTGATCATGTTAACACTTAACCAATTCACAAATATCAAATATGGTTTTTTGATGATACACAAAAGGTAATCAATTGATTAGGTTATATATTTTACGAGGTGTGTTTATACGATGATTCAATATCAATGAATTCTAACCTCAACAATTTCTCAGAATCTAATCGCTACTAAAGCTCGATTAGGCACCAATTCTAACAAAACATAATCTTAAGTAATAAATGGCAACCAATTGAATAAATGATAAACTACACTAAAATTTGAAAACCTAAGTGTGAATGTGTGTGTGTGTGTGTGTGTGTGTGTGTGTGTGTGTGTGTGTAAGAGAGAGAGAGAGAGAGAGGAATACATCGGGATATATCATGGTACGTCATTCTTTCTCGTTTTGCCTACTCCATTCTTCAATGTTTTCCTATTGGAACTAATCGTGTTCCTTTTTATTCTGACAATATTAATATTTCAAGAGTTCGTACAATCATTAATCTATGGTAATGCTAAGAAAATAAATCTCCTAACTGGATCTTGACTTATATATAGCGTAATGCAAAACTTATTTACTTAACCTTTACTCGATTCACGCTTCTTAAATCTTCTAGCTTCACCAATATGCTCAAATTCTTCGTGTGCGGAAATCACCCCTTGATCCTATCGATTTTTTGAGCGATGAATTGTGTGAAGAATTAAGAATAAATCTACCTTGTCCATAGTCTTAAACACAGTCCCTACCAAGTTAATTTGGAGAGAAGAACCTCCTTCTTTTCACTAGAATTTGTCAGCACCAATGACAACAACCTCAATCTTCCTAGCTACCTGAAAATATCAACCAAAATTTAAAGAATGGTTAATTTCAAGATGGAGTCTCGCTCAATCAATTACAAATCTCTCGTAATCAAGATCTGAAATCAAACTTGAGTTTGAAGATGAAAAAAACTTGGTTGCAAGAGCTTTTGGACTTTCAGAAATGAGGACGTTGATTTCTAAAAAATCACAATGGAAGATTATGATTTTCCACTTGAGTTTTTTTTATAAATGAGATGACAAAATGGATTCATATGTCCTTGAGATTAAGCATGAAAATTAATGGAAAATTTTAGTTAGATTCAAATCAAGAACATTTCATGATTTAAGCCAAATGAGCAAGTGAAGTGGAATAAGAAAGGATAACAATTTTGACCCATTTCCCGTCTGATTTGAATTAAGAACAAAAATTGATCCGAGTCAGAAAGCTCATGATTCAAATCAAGTGTAAAGAATGATTTAAATCAGTTTAAACAGATCCAAAAGAGAAATGTAAAAAAAATGTATGATTCGAGTCAAGTGTAAAGTCTGATCCAAATCAAATTAAGCAGTGGTGACCCAGATGTGCCTGATTCGAATCAAATACAACTTGTGATTCAAATAAAGTTAAAATCCCAATTTGAATCAAAGTGTTTGAGAAATTTTTTTTTCCTCTGTTCAATTTGATTCGACTCAGGGTATGTACATAATTCGAATCATGCACATAAAAACTCAGTTTTCATGGTTTTCAAAATACTTTGAGATTTTTCTTGCCACCTAACTTGAACCAATAACACACATGATTCTTATTCCAATGACTCATGCAATTGACTAAAAACATCATGATCAATCTCAAATATAACCATTGATTTTTGCGTGCTAAAAAACGAATCAATTCAAACTTGATTCAGAGATGTGCAATTATGAAGGAGACTCAATAAACAAAAGTAAATGAAAATGAAAGCGATAAGACAAGCAACAAAATCATCGTATTGGGGTTATCCCCTTGAATGTGTTTGAGTCAACTTTGAGCCAAAAGAAAAAATGTTTGTGTTCCCCCTGAAACATTGCACATAAACAACATAGCATAAAACACATAAAAAAATTCTAGACTCACATTACAACTTCTCCCTCTTTGACAACATCAAAAAAAGATAGATTGAAATTATTCTAAAAACCAAATAATCAACCACAAAATGAAAAACTCAATATGAACACAAGAGCTAAACAGCTAAGAAGAATATACAACAACAAAGATCAGATACAGAGCACGAAGATAAACATGCCACATGCAACAAAATGCAAATAGACTGTCATATAAAAGAAGATTAAGTAATGCATGAACAAGTATACTAATGCTCGAATGCACATAATTAGCAACACACATTTAAAAAGACCTAAATGCAAATAAGAACAATAACAAAAACATATGCTAGAGATTGATGTGTAAATTAAGAAGGTAATAAGAAAACTAATTAACATATTCAGAACAACATACACACAATGATATCAAATCGGATACTAGAGTTATAGAGACATGGGAATGTAGTTGGCAAAACTATGATTTACTACAAAATAATGTTAGTGAAAATAGAATATACATAACAAATGAAATTAAACAAAATTATCTTTTTATTTAAAGCAAGAAATCTAATGATAATGGTTTTGTAAAAATGTCATCAAGATGACTTTTAGTGTCAACGTATTCAAAAACAACATCCCATTTTTCAACATGTTCTCTAAGAAAAGGATGTCGAATTTCAATGTGTTTGGTCCATGAATGAAGTACCATATTCTTAGTGAGGCTTATTACTCTTATATTATTGCACTTAATTAGAATGCAGTTAAGTTTTAAATAAAAATCTAGCAATTTTTGCTTTAGCCATAAGACTTGTACACAACAACTACCAGCGGCTACATATTCAGCCTCGGCGGTAGAAAGAGCAACACATTGTACTGCTTCTTATTGTGTCAAGAAACTAAATAGCTTTCAAATAAATGGAATGACTACTAGTGTTTTTTCTATCTGACTTGCACCCCGCGAAATTGGTATGAGAAAAAACTACTAAGTTACAAGCACTACCTTTAGGATACCAAAAACTGTGTTGGGAAGTTTCGTTAAGATACCCCAAAATACGTTTTACGATCTCAAAGTGTCATTTCTTAGGTGACGTTTGTTCTCTAGCACTGTCGCTATGCGAAAAATGACACAGAGTCGCCACCGAATTTTATTTATCCCAAGGAGGGAAAGAGAAATAACGATAAAACCTTTAGGAAAAGAGCATGGTCATCGCAACCAAGTTTTAGGGTTCGGGAGTCGGTTATGCGAGGGGAAGGTATTAGCACCCCCTCGCATCTATCGT